CCAGTTCCCCCTGGGACAGGGGAAGACCCTCTTGAAACCTGGTTTCCTTGTCAGACCAGGCTAAAAGGGGGTTGGCAGTTTGGGGGAAGCCAGCCGGTATCTCGAGGTTGGGCAATCGGACCATCCCTTAAAGGGATAATACAGTTTGCTCCTCTGGACGGAGCATGCTATGGGGACGTGGGGATTTGTTTGTTTGGGCTTAATTCGGGACTAGCATGTTGCGTGGATGCGGCCCCTGAGTCGGCAGGGCTCTACGCGGCGGGCAGCCTCGAGGCTCCCGAGGTCTTGCTCTTGACGCCCGAAAGAGGCTGGCTGAGAAGCTTCGGAATCCGGGATCTTGCTGCTCTTCCACGTGGAAAGCCACTCCTGGTCCTCCAAGCTCTTGCGTTGCCCTGAGATCAACCCTAGAATTTCGGGGACCCTCTTGGGGCCACAACTGCAAGTCAGAAGACCTTGGCGCTGCCCTGTGGATCTCGCTTCTACCTGCTGCTCCAGGTTCAGAAATGCAGTTCAGAGTGGATTGGATGCAGTCCCTCCTGGCCTTGCAGCTGCAGGGAGGGGGGTCTTTTTCCCCAGGGGCCCCTCAGTAGACAGCCTAAACTGGGGACTCTGACACCCCTCTCTCCCCCAAAGGAAAGCAGGGAGCTTTTCAGCTATACTGAAACTCCAGTGACCTCCCTGTCTTTCTCCCTGGGGGGACAAGAAGGTGTGGTCCCTCGCTTGGTTTCTCAGCACAAGCGACAATGGCGTGGCCCTTCGGCAGCTGCCGTGCCCCACCCCAGAAACAGCTGCCTTTCCAGATGCAGGGGGAAAGAGTCACCCCCCTCTGGAGGCAAGGTTGCACCATGACCCTGGCATTCGCGCCAAGCTCTGCCAGAGCCTCAAAAGTTAACCCTGACTTTAAAGCTTCAGTAAACGGAGGCTGATCTACTGGGAGGGGCCCTCCTACTGGGGCCCTCCAGAATTCCTCACTTTCCTCCGGTTGGTGGGCTCAAAGGATGGGGCCTTTTCCGTGCTGGCCCCGAGAGTGGAATTGATCGGCAAAAGCTGCAAAACGAAGCTCATTCTGGTCAGTTTCAGGCAGGCAGTAAAAATGCCTCTTCCTAAAGTAAAGAGATGTACTTTTGATTCCTCTTCTTCCTCATCGGCTCAAATTTCTCGTGGCTTAGTGCTCACTTTTGCAGACTACCTCCGGGAGTGAGGACCAGCAGGAGCTTTGCAGGCAATGGAGCGGATCCTGTATTACTTAGCAGGAGGGAGAATGTTTTTGCCTCCGCTTTTTTTTTTCCAGCTAACTTTTCCGCATACAGTGCTAGCAGGAAACAAAGCGGCCTCTTGGCTAATCCTTCCTTCTTTCCTTCCTATACTTAAGATAAAGGTTGGGAAACGAGGCTAAGCTATGGGCTGCATGCTCTAAGCTATGGGCTGCATGCTCTAAGCTATGGGCTGCATGCTCGCTTGCTCAAAATCCCTGAACATCAGCTGCTTGCATTGTTTTTCTCCTCTCCTCTTTAATTCCCTTCCCTTTCCCCCCTTCCTCTCTCTCCTTCCCTCCTTTCCTTCCCCTTCTTCTTCCCTTTTTCCCTTTCCATCTTTTTTTCCCTTCCCTTCCCTTCCCTTCCCTTCCCTTCCCTTCCCTTC